CTGTGGGAAGAGAGCTTCATGCATTAGGAGATCTTACATAGATTAATGCAGAAAGACTTAAGAAGGATAGAGACACGGGTTTAAGCATAATGAGTATAAATTAATGGAGAAGGAATGAAAAAGGAATAACGTGTAGAAAAGTATAAGACAGAGGAAATTTGACAATATTGAAAGAAATAAAAGGGACTGAGTGTAAATAAGAGTAAGCTTCTCAGCGGCAGAGAAAGTTCTTGACGGGCTTCAGATTCACTTCCTCTCACTGTGTCTCTCACACAGTAATAGACTGCGGTGTCTTCAGCTTTGAGGCTGTTCATTTGCAGATACAGCTGGCTTTTGGCATCGTCCCTGGAGATGGTGAAGCGTCCCTTCACTTTGTCTGAGTAGTAAGTGTCAGTTGTACCCATATATGCAACCCATTCCAGTCCTTTCCCTGGAGCTTGTCTTATCCAGGCCATATAATAGCTGCTGAAGGTGAATCCAGAGGCTTGGCAGGAGAGACGGAGGGACCCTCCAGGTCTTCTCACATCCCCTCCAGACTCCACCAACTGGACTTGAGATTGAACACCTAAAAAGAAAAGTGTTTCAATGAGATCTCCTGTAAACAAGAACAGCAAATGGAAAAAAAAAAAAAACACCTCTACATGGAGGGAAACATTACCTCCTAAGGATACAAGTAAGGACACCAAATTCAGCCACCGGATCATATTTGCTGTCTCTAATAAATGGAATGGAACTGAAAGGAAAGGATTTGGGAAAATGCACAAACTTTGTGTTGGTAGGTGTTGCTGCAAAAGGGAAACCAGCTGTTGTTTTTAAAGGGGAAATTGTGCCTTGATTTACATATTGGTTGAGATAAAAGAGTTCTTCAGAAGAGGGATTTCATAGTTGTCCTTGCACGCTCCCTGCACAGTTGATTTTGGTATAAATTTCCTGTCCAAAGAAAAACAAAGGCAGCTTTTACAGAGGATTAATTAAATAAAAGCCTTGCAAAATTCCACCAGTTCTCAAAAGTGATTGAGGTGATGAAAGTTAGCCCAGAGAAGAAATATTAAAAAGGGCAGAAAAATATATTTTTCCTCAAAAGGACTTTTTAAAACCAAACCTGGCCCCAAATCTATCTCTCTGCCCCAAGCAAGACTTTAGCCCTATACAAATGCAGATGTAAAACCATCAGAAAGTTGAAGCCAGAGCAATCAAGAAGACAAAAGAGAAGATCTGCATACCCCACCCAAACTCTAGGAGTCATTAGCCCCATCACCTGGGAAGCAGGATATGATAATAGAATTAAACCACAGATATCAAGGCCTAGACAAACACTCAGAAACAGCCTCAAGTTCGTGCCACAGGAACAGGAAACTATTCCAAACAAAAGGCTAGGGGGGTATAAAACCTACTGCCCATGTGCTCAATTTCTTTCTTCGCTCTCTCTTCCCTCCCCTCCTTCTCTCCTCTGTACTTTCCTGAAGACTATCTTTCTGCAATACACTGTAACCTTCTTCCCAAAGCAGTCACTATGTTTGCTTATTTATTCCCGGCTTGGATGAACCAGGATGAAGACTTTACTTCTAACAGAGGGGAACAAATGATGAACAAGCTATAAGAACATTTGAAAGAGGCATGTTAGGAAACATGAAAACAGCAGCACCTCTGAATTCAGAAATGTTTTTATGCATTTTTCCCTTTAATGTGACCTTTTGAAGAAACACAAAAGAAATGAATGCAGACCAAGATCATTTTTGGAGGCTATTTTACTATTTTGTGGGGTATTTTAATTGTAATAAAAATGTTACCAAAAACACTAAATGTACATTGAAAAATAATAATAATAAACCTTTTTGAGGAAGGAAAGAAGGAAGGAAGATTTAAAAATGAAGAAACAAACAAACAAACAAAAAAGAAATGGCAATGGAGTGTTGTGTGACAACTTTTCCCCCCAGGACACACACATCTTAATTCTCCCAAAAAATTATTTTGGTCCAGATGTTCCTTAATATTTCTATTGCCAGTTTAGATATTTAGAAGGATTATCCTGTGTTTCATTTCCAGAGTTCTGCCATGATATTAAAGACAACATTCCATTCCAGTTTTTTTTTCTCTGAAGCCAAATCACCTTGCAAACAGGGAAGGTAAAACTGGAATTTTGAAGGCAATTTCCTCATTTTTCATTGACTTCAGCATAATTTGTAACTGGATCCCTAGAACAAAAGAATGCAGGATCCATGGCTGAATCAAGTTGAAGAGCTGCTCTGAAGAAAGGAATCTTCTTGGAAGGTTTTTTTGTTAAGCTTCAAATTCACTTCCTCTCACTGTGTCACTTATGCAATAATAGACTGCCGTATCCTCTGGTTTGAGGCTGTTCATTTGCAGATACAGCTGGTTTTTTTGCATGGTGAGGGGAAATTGTGCCTTGATTTACATATCAACTGAAATAAAAGACTTCCTCCATGCAGTGACTTCTGTTGTCCATCCACACTCCCTGCACAATTGATTTTTCCAGTCCAAAGAAAAATGAAGGCAGCTTTTGTAAAGGAATAATTAAAACAAAGACTTGCAAAATTTCACCAGTTCTCAACAGTGATTCAAGGGAACAAATGATGGACAAGCAAAAAAGAATATTTGAAAGAGACATGTTAAAAAACACGAAAACAGCAGCATGTTTGAGTTCAGGGAAGATTTCATACATTTTCCCCTTTAATATGTCCTTTTGCAGAAATCCAAAAGAATTGAATGCAGAGTAAGATCATTTTTGGTTTGGAGGCTCTTTTGTTATTTTGTGTGAGGTTTTTAAATAAGTCGTTAGCTGTCCAGAGTTAATTTGCCAAGATGGGCAGCCATTAAATTTGAAATAAAAAAAAAACATGGTAAGAGGAATAATAGTGATAATAGTTGGTATAAGAATGTTACCAAAAACTGTATGTTGAAAAAATAATAACAAACTGCTTTGTGGAAGGAAGGAAGGAAGGAAGGAAGGAAGGAAGGAAGGAAGGAAGGAAGGAAGGAAGGAAGGAAGGAAGGAAGGAAGGAAGGAAGGAAGGAAGAAGGTAGAGTTAGGGAGCGAGGGAAGTTAAAAATGTAGAAAACAGGTTGAAAAGAAACAGAAAAGAGAAATGGCAACAAGGTGTTGTGTTTCTAGGATCCAACATGGGTTGTTCACCCAGACCAGAGGTTTAGTCTTCCAAGCTTTCAGACTGGAGCCCATCCTTAGGAACATTTCTCTAGTAGAGTGTGTGCTTTGTGCTATTCTGGGTGGGGTATTTATATGGTGCCTGTTTGTATGTGCTATTTAGTTGTTGATTGGAGTGTTGATGGCTGGATATTAACTTGTTGGCTGTTGTTTCCTTGTGTCTGTGAAACTGCCCCCTTGTTAGTCAACGGGATTGCTGATTTACCACCAGCCTTTCAAATACTTAGGATGCGAGGGCTTGACAGCACAAGGAATCAATAGCCAACAACTTAATAGCTTGCCATCAACGCCCCAATCAACAACTATAGAGCACATACAACAGGGGCCATAGGAATACCACACACAGGGAGTAACGTAAAGCACACACTCTGCTGGAGAACAATTCTCTGAGGATAGGGTCCACCATGAGTCCAAAAGCTCAGAACACTAAATTTCTGGTCCCTATGAGTGACCCAGATTAATATCCTGCAATATTAATCTGGGATCTTCATTCATGAGGGTGTTGTGGGACAATATTGCCCTAGTGTCTAAAGTGAAGAGAGGACACATCTTCCTAAATCTCCAAAGAAATTATTTTGGTCCAGATGTTCTTCAATATTTTTATGGTCAGTTGGGAGGGAGGGAGGATAAAAAAGTGAAGAGAAAGACTAAAAAAAGCTTTCTATTTTTTTATATGTACTAAATGTACTATATGTACATTTACAATAAGACCTCTTAATGTTGCAATTATAAAAAAGAGCCCATCTTTTTCTATTACCCATTTTTTTTTCTAACCATGAAAACCAAAAATCATGACTGCATTTTTTTTCCCGTTTGGAAAATGTCTACAAAGTCTTTTTTGCTAATCAAAAATGTTACTACTGAGTAGTGACAATAAAACATAAAGACGTTCCAATCTATGCAGACCCAGAAGTCTTCTATGAGAGGACATTTGCCTTGGTGCTACCCAGTTGTGGGAGAGAGAGCTTGTGGAATCAGGGGATTGCAGGCAGATTAATGTAGAAAGAATGTAATGTAGATTAATGTTTTTTGTTCATTATATGCAAAATATCTGTGAAAGGTTTTCTAATCAAAGACTTTAGTTTAACTTCTCTGCAGGTTCCTTCATCCATTTATCAGCCCTCCAAAATTAGACAATATCTGTTTAGAATTGATTTATTCCCTACCCATCCCTCACCCATAGACCATGGGGTTTTGTGTGACAATACTGCCCCGAGTGTCCAAAGGAGGAGAGGACGTATCTTCCTATTTCTCTGAGGAGATTCTTTAGGTCCAGATTTTTCCTCAATATGTGAATGGCAGTTTGGATATTTAGAAAGATTATCCTGAATTTTATTTTCAGACTTTTGCATGGTCCTAAAGAAGAATACAGACAGACGTTTATGTACAACAGTTCATTTAATCACCGTTCAAAGTAACAATGTCACTGACCATTTTTTCACATTTATGACCATTGCAGCATTCCCATGGTCACATGATTAAAATTCACACACACACACACACACACACACACACACAGAGAGAGAGAGAGAGAGAGAGAGAGAGAGAGAGAGAGAGAGAGAGAGAGAGAGAGAGAGAGAGAGTTAAGATAGGAAAGTTTTATTATTATGGTTCATTACATAGTGAGCCAGACGTTTATGCTAGGGAAAAACAAACAAACAAACAAGGGAAATAAATGATAAGTCAAATCAAATCAAATCTTTATTGTCAAAGTACAACATGTGTACAATGAGACTGGCTGAGCCTCCCTTTGTCCACCCCCCCAATCACAACTCACAATGACAACAAACACACAATCTTATTACACCATGTGAACTTATTGCACAGTGCACCGGCCCCGCAAGTCTTTCATCCATAGAGTTATTTCCCATTCAGGAGCCTGACAGCCCATGGGTAGAAACAGTTCTTCAGCCTGTCGCTGTGGCTGGCTATGCTTCTGGAGATGGTAGGAGGGTAAAGAAGTGCTGACCAGGGTGTGAGTCGTCCCTGAGGATTTTCCTCACTCTTCTAAGGCAGCGGGCCCTAGCGATGGCATCTAGTGGTGTCAGGGGACAGCCCACAATGTTTTGTGCTGTGCTCACCACCCTCCATAGTGTCTTTTTATCCGCAGCTGTCAAGCCAGCATACCACACCATAATGCATAAAGCAGATAAACAACACACAAAATAAGCGAAAGAATTGTGTATTTCAAATCTAAAAACAAAAAGACAATCACCCATCAAGAATTATTTAATATATACATTAGAGACAGGAGGGGGTTCCTTTATTTATTTATTTTTTAAAAAAATCATATGATTTTTAAAAAGTCTATTTTTGTATGGGAAGACACTAAAGAACTTGCTGAAGACCAAAAACAAGAAAGTACTTCAGACCAAGATGCTGAAGGACTTATCCAAGACCAAAGGAGAGGGAGTCTAAATATTTTCCAAAGCACAAAAAACGCAAGATGAGAAACTAATCAAGGAGAGAAGCAACCTAAGAACTAAGGAGAAATGTCCTAATGGTGAGAGCAATCAACCAATGGAATGGATTGCCTTCAGAAGTTGTGGGTGCTCCATCACTAGACAACCATTTATCTGGAACAGTACAGGGTCTCCTGCTCAAGCACGGGGGTTGGACTAGATGACCTCCAAGGCCCCTTCCAACTCTATTATTCTATGTTCTGTGTTCTAAATACTGAAGATCCCTTGCTGCATGGGAGAATCTATTCCTGATGCTAAAATTTTGTATGTGTGTGTGTATGAATCCTTATTCTTAAACTACGGTCTGTTGATTATATCAGTGTTCATGTGATATAAATAATCAAGAATGGTTTAGAAAGCACAATTGGTTGGATATCTACAATATAAATGGTCAAAATCAAGAAATGACTGCTTAACCAACATTCTCACAGTGGACAGAGAAGGATAAATGACTCACTTTGTATTCACTGGTTTGGAATGCCAGAGACATATATCAAGAAAGGAACAATTGCCTGTTGTTCCTTAATTTATGGATGTATTTGAAGTAAAAAAGGCATCTCTGTATTATAGTTTTTTAATATAGCATACACAAAAAAACTTAAATAGGGGCAAGTCCTTATCAAGACAAATATTTTTTCATAAGTCATACATTGGATAGCCTTACACTTCATTAAATAGAATTCTTGCTTTCTAATGTGGAAGTCATGCACCTGAATCTCTTTTCACTAGCCACATCAAAATCCGAAAGTCTACAAGATGAGACCATAATATTTATTACAGTTTCCTTGTAGAGGAAGGAAGCTGCAGGAAAAGAATGTGTCCCAGACCCCAAAGTTAGTACGGACCACATCATGTCAAAACTTCTCCTGATTTATAAGTGGTGGCAAGAATAACCATCAAACAGTAACAACATGGCAGTTAAAGTTTCATGGAGTGGAGATTTGTAATTTCTAATATCTGGCAGTCTTGGCATTGTCCAACTGAGGGGATAAAGCTTCAGGCATCAGGAGATTTTATATAGATTAATGTAAAAAAAATTAAGAAGGATAGAGACTTGGGTTTAAGAATATTGAGTATAAATTAATGGACAAGACAAGACAGGGTAGGACAGGACAGGATAAGGCAAGACAAGGCAAGGCAAGGCAAGGCAAGACAAGACAAACAGTGACAACATGGCAGTTAACAGTGTCTCACTATTGAGCAACCAAGCCAGCCTACTTGTTAACTGCACACCCAGGAATTTGATGCTGGTAACCATTTCCACAGGTGAATCATTTATGCACAGAGAAGTGTGGCTGTCCCTGCCTTTTCTGAAATCAACAATGATCTCTTTGGTTTTTCTGGTATTTTAAACTAGGCTGTTCCCCTTACACCAGTTCACCAACCCCTCAACCTCCTTGAGGTAAGCAGCCTCATTGTCATCATGAATAAGGCCCAATACTGTTGTATCATCTGCGAACTTCACAATATGGTTGGTGGCAAACCTAGCACAACAGTCATGGGTCAACAGGGTGAACAGCAGCAGACTTAGGATACAGCCCTGAGGAGAACCTCTTGCTCAAGAAAAAGGTGTTAGAAGTATTTGTTCCAACTCGCACATATTGGGGCCTGTTGGTAAGAAAATCTAGAATCCAGTTGCACAAAGGAGTGTTTAAGCCTAAAAGGCCCAGTTTGACTACTAGATGCTGGGGAATGATTGCGTTAAATTCCGAACTGAAGTTGACAAACAACAAACGCACATGAGTATTTCTTTCCTCTAAGGAAAAGAATGGAAAATGAATAACTTGTAGAAAAGAATGAGACTGAGGAAATTTGGCAATATTGAAAGGAAAAAAAGGGGGGGGCTGAGTGTAAATATGAGTAAGCAGCTCAGAAGCAGAGATAGATTTTGACGGACTTCAGATTCACTTCCTCTCACTGTGAGTCTCGCACAGTAATAGACAGCCGTGTCCTCTGGTTTCAGACTGTTTATCTGCAGATACAGCTGACTGCGGGAATCATCCCTAGAGATGGTGAAGCGTCCCTTGACTTTGTCGGAGTAGTGAGTGGAAGGAGACGAGCCTGTACGTATGTAGGCCACCCATTCCAGTCCTTTCCCTGGAGCCTGTCTCACCCAAATCATCCAGTAGCTACTGAAGGTGAATCCAGAGGCTTGGCAGGAGAGACGGAGGGACCCTCCAGGTCTTCTCACATCTCCTCCAGACTCCACCAACAGGACTTCAGACTGGACAACTAAAAAGAAAGATGTTTCAGTGACATTCCCTGTATAGAAGAACAGCAAATGAAATGACACTCTACATAGAGGGAAACATTACCTCGAAGGAATGCAAATAAGAATAAAAAGTTTAGGCACCAGATCATTTCTGCCTCTCTGTAATAAATGGAGAATATATGATAGGAAAGGTTTTGGGAAAATGCACAAACTTTGTCTTGGTGGGTGTCAACTGTTGCCTCTTTAAAGGCAAAGTTGTGCCTTGATTTACATATTGGTTGACATAAAAGAGTTCCCCAGAGTAGGGATTTCATAGTTGTCCTTGCACACACCCTGCACAGTTGATTTTTGCACAACTTTCCAGTCCAAAGTAAAATAAAGGCAGCTTTTACAGCAGAATAACTGAAATAAAGACCTGCAAAATTTCACCACGTCTCGAAAGTGATTGAGGGGAACAAATGATGAACAAGCACTAAGAACATTTGAAAGAGGCATGTTAGAAAACATGAAAACAGCAGCACATCAGAGTTCAGGAAAGGTTTTATACATCCCCCCCCCTTTAATATAACCTTTTGAAGAAACACAAAAGAGTTTAATGCAGACCAAAATCATTTTTGTTTTGGAAGCTATTTTGTGTGGTGTCTTACTTGCCCAGAATTGATTCGTCAAGAAGGGCAGCCCAAAAATTAAAATAATAATGAAGGAAGGAAGGAAGGAAGGAAGGAAGGAAGGAAGGAAGGAAGGAAGGAAGGAAGGAAGGAAGGAAGGAAGGAAGGAAGGAAGGAAGGAAAGAAGATTAAAAAGTATATGAAGAGACTGAAAAGAAAGAGAAAAAGGAAGTTTCTTATTTCTTCTGCAGCAAATATAAGTACATTTGCAATATTAACTCTTACTTATAATTACAAAAAGGAGCTCATGTTTTTGTACTATCCATTTGTTTTCATCAAAACCACAAATCATGACTGTGTATTTTTCTGTTTCCTGCAAAAGTCTATAAAGTATTTTCTAATCAAAGACATTAGTTTAGTCTTCCTTACAAGTTTCATCATATTGACGGTCCATCCCTCCATTGTGGGTAGTGTCCAGTGTTTCTAATTTTGATTATATAATAATACCTTCTCAGTTATCATATATTAAAAAGAGAGCTTCATGACTTTTTTTTTTCTAATTGCCCATTTAATAGACCCAAAAGAAAACTCTCTGCTTTCAATTGTAGCTTAATCTTCAAAATACTCTGGATTACTGTACATATCGGTATCCAACATTTTTTATGGCTGTTTTTTTTTTTTTTGCATGTCCACCATAATTGATAAAATGTTCCTCTATGTTGTTTTCTGGTGACAAGAACCAATGATGCATATAATTTTATAAATATTCTCTGCTTCAGAGTGAGGATTGTAGAATCCTGAGATGTGGAATTTTCTTGAGAGATTTTGAGGAAATAATAACAGAACTAACAACCAATTATATTTCCTCCAAAATATAACACTATCTAATGATGATGATGTTATTCATTCAGTTGGCTCCAACTCTTGATGATTTTATGGGCCAGGTCTCTCCATATCTTCTAATCTTGCACTATTTCTTTTGAGTTTTTCTATGCTCTGGCTGGTGTCAGCTTTGATGGTGTCCAGCCATCGTATTCTTTGATGGCTTGGTTTCCTTTTACCGCTAACTCTTCCCACCATAATTGCTTTCTGCAATGAATTCCTCCACATTTCTTGGCCAAAATAAATGACACAACATCTAATGAAGCTTGTTTTATTTCCTATCAAACACCCCTTTGGTGCATAGGCAATGGTGTGTATGGAGACTCTTAGTCATCCAGGTCATAGTTATCTCAAAGATGCTTTTTCATGAGGCAACTGGACTTCCTTGTTTTTCTTTGAAGATGTTTCACTTCTCATCCAAGAAGCTTCTTCAGCTCTGACTGGATGGAGGGGAATGGCATAAATCCTTCCATTTCCCACCATCCTGTTGCATCATGAAAAAGCACCTGTGGCATAGGTGTTTTGTATGACAACATTGCCCCCTAGCACTAAAAATGAGGAAGGGGGACATCTTCCTAATTCTGCAAGAAGATTCTTTTGGAGCAGAAATGTTCTCAATATCTTTACGGCAATATGGACATTTAGAAAGATTATCCTAAGGTTTATTTATTTATATATTTTTTTGCCTTTGACCATGGTACTAAAAATCACATTCCATAGGGTTTTATTTTCTGAAGCCAGATCACCTGATAAACAGTGAAGTTGGAATTTTGAAGCTATATTCCTCATTCTTCATTGTCTTTCAGCACATTCTGCACCTGGATTTTGAGGACAAAATATATATATATATATATGGTAAAATTCTCAATATATGGTGATGAAGCCTCATTGGCTATTCCAGGATCTTGGATGAATCAAGTGGCTGAGCTGCTCTGAAGACAGGAAGGTTTTTGTTTAGCTTTAGATTCACTTCCTCTCACTGTGTCTCCCACACAATAATAGATTGCTGTGTCTTCAGCTTTCAGATTGTTCATTTGCAGATACAGCTGGCTTTTGGCATCATCCCTGGAGATGGTGAAGCGTCCCTTGACTTTGTCCAAGTAGTTAATTGGAGATGAGGATGTACCTATTCTTGCAACCCACTCCAGTCCTTTCCCTGGAGCCTGTCTCACCCAGCCCATGTAAGAGCTGCTGAAGGTGAATCCAGAGGCTTGGCAGGAGAGACGGAGGGACCCTCCAGGTCTTCTTACATCCCCTCCAGACTCAACCAATTGGATGTCAGATTGGACATCTAAAAGGAAAAATGTATCAATGAGATCGCCTGTATATAAGAGCAGGAAATTAAACTGTAAATAGAAAAGGAATTTAACCTCCAAAGAGTGCAAGTAAGGATAACAGGTTTAGGCACAGAATCATGTTTGGTCTCCCTGTAACGAATGGATGAGAGTTGAAAGGAGAGGTTTGGGATAATGCACAGACTTTGTGCTGGTAGGAGTGTCTGGAAAAGGCAAAGCAGCTGTTGCCTTTAAAGGGGGTAATTGTGCCTTGATTTACATACTGGTTGAGATAAAAAGGTTCCTCAGTGCAATGATTTCATAGTTGTCCTTGAACACTCCCTGCACAGTTGATTTTTATAAAACTTTTCAGTCCAATGATGAATGATGAAGGCAGCCCTTACAGAAGAGTCATTGAAACAAAGACCTGCAAAATTCCACCAGTTCCCCAAAGTGATTCAAGGGAACACATGATGAACAAGGAAAAATAAAATTGAAAGAGACTTGGCAGAAAACATGAAAACAGCAGCACATTTGAGTTCAGGAAAACTTTTATCCATTTTTTTTTTTTTTTTTGCCTTTAACATGCCCTTTTGAACAAACCCAAAAGAAATGAATGCAGAGCAAGATCGTTTTTGTTTGGGGAGCTCTTTTGCTATTTTATGTGGTATTTTTATTAGTTGTTACTTGCTCAGAATTGATTCGCCAAGATGGGCAGCCATAAAAATTGAAATAAAATCATGGCAAGAGAAATAGTAAGAATAATTTTAATAGAAATATTACCAAAAACTGTCATTGTAGGTTAAAAAAATAAGAAGGAAAGAAGGAAGGAAGGAAGATTAGCAATGGAGATATAGGCTGAAAAGAAACAGAAAAAAATGGCAATAGTGTGTTGTCTTGTAGTATCCAATCTGGGTCATTCACTGGGACCAACGATTTAGTCTTTTGGACTCATGCCAGAGCCCATCCTCAGGAAATTTCTATCAAACATGAGTCTTCAAGCTCAGAAGACTAAACAATTAAAAAATGTTTTAGAAAGCACAATTTGATGGATCTCCAAAAGATATACAGTCAATATAAGAAATATCTGTTTAACCAATGTTCTTACAATGGACTGAGAAAAATAAAAGAGTCACATTGTATTCCCTCATTTGGAATGTCACAGATATATCTCAAGTAAGATATGGTAATATATATTATGGTCTACAAAATGAGACCATAAGACAGTGGTTCTCAACCTGTGGGTCGGGACCCCATTTGGGGTCGAATGACCATTTCACGGGGGTCACCGAACAATGCAGTCCCCCTTTTTCCTTAGCTGTGCTACTCCCTTTTATTCTATTGGCTTTTAAAAGCCAATAGAATAGACTCTCTTGAATAGAGTCTAATTCTATTGGTTTTCAAAAGCCAATAGGAATTGTCCAGGCTGTGTTTGCCCTGCTGAGCCCGCCAAAAGCCCCATTCTGCAAACAGTGCTGCAAGTTGTCTGCAGCGAAGGCGAGCTGTCTGGAAGTTCCCACCCTTCCTTGCTGAGCAACTACTAAAAATGCAAGTAAAAGAGGGCCAGGGGTGGGAGGTGGGAGGCCGGCGCGTGCAGGGAAAGTTGCTGGTGTGCGTGGGGCCCAGTGGGTATCTTTCCTCCCTTGGGCTGGGCCAGCTGGTGGTCCAGCGGGTATTTGCCCTGCGCCGTCGCTGCCCCTTGCCAGCTACGCCTCGGCCAGCGCAGGGGGCTGCACCACGCATGTGCTGCGCTCCCGGGCAGGGAAAATCTTCGACGTACGACCGGTTGGGTAGTCCTTGACTTACGACTGGTTGGGGTCACAGCATTAAAAAGGTTGAGAAGCACTGCTGTAAGATTTGCAATTTCCAATATCTGGAAGTCTTGGCACTGCCCAACTGAGGGGAGAAAGCTTCAGGCATCAGGCAATTTTATATAGATTAATGTAGAAAGAATTAAGAAGGAGAGAGACTCAGGTTTAAGGATGTTGAGTGTATATTAATGGAAAAGGAATGAAAAAGGAATAGTATGTAGAAAAAAATGAGACTGATGAAATTTAGCAATACTGAAAGAAAAAAGGGACAGTGTAAATAAGTGTAAGTTGATCAGATGTAGAGAAAGTTCTTGACAGGTTTCAGATTCACTTCCTCTCACTATGCCTCTCATACAGTAATAGACCGCCATGTCTTCAGCGTTGAGGCTGTTCATTTGCAGATACATCTGGCTTTTGGCATTGTCCCTGGAGATGGTGAAGCGTCCCTTCACTTTGTCTGAGTAGTAAGCACCAGAACCAGGACTTATATAGGCCACCCATTCCAATCCTTTCCCAGGAGCCTGTCTCACCCAGCCCATGTAAGAGCCATTGAAGGAGAATCCAGAGGTTTGGCAGGAGAGTTGGAGGGATTCTCCAGGTCTTATCACACCCCCTCCAGACTCCACCAATTGGACGTCAGATTGGACACCTAAAAAGAAATTATTTCAGTGGGATCTCCTGTATAGAAGGAGAGCAAATGGAAGGAAACTCTACCTAGAGGGAAACATTACCTCCAAGAAGTGCAAGAAAGGACACCAAATTCAGCCACAGAATCATTTTTGCTTTCCCTGTAATGAATACACTAGGCTAGACTAGGCTAGACTAGAATAGACTAGAATAGACTAGAATAGACTAGAATAGATGGAATGGAATAGAATAGAATAGAATAGAATAGAATAGAATAGAATAGAATAGAATAGAATAGAATAGAATAGAATAGAATAGAATAGAGCTGGAAGGGACCTTGGAGGTCTTCTAGTCTGGCCCCCTACTCAAGCAGGATTTGGGAAAATGCACAAACTTTGTGGTGGTGGGTGTCACTGGAAAAAGGAAACCAACTGTTCCCTTTAAAGGGGAAATTGTGCCTTCATTTACATATTGGTTGAGATAAATAGTTCCTCAATGCAATGATTTCATAGTTGTCCTTCCACACTCCTTGCACAGTTGATGGTTTTTTTTTTTTTCAGTTCAAAGAAAAATGAAGGTAGATCTTACAGAAGAATAATTGAAAGAAAGACTTGCAAAATTTCACCAGTTCTTAAAAGGGATTCAAGGGAACAAATCATGAACAAGGAAAAAGAACAGTTGAAAGAGACATGTTAAAAAATGTGAAAACAGCAGGGCATCTGAGTTCAGGAAAGGTTTTATACATCCCCCCCCCCTTTTTTTACTATGACCTTTTGAAGAAACCCAAAAAAACTGAATGCAGAGCCAAATCATTTTTGTTTTGGAGCCTCTTTTTCTACTTTGTGTGGTGTTTTTATCAGTTGTTACTTGCCCTGAGTTTATTTGTCAAGATGGGCTGCCATAAAAAGTGAAATAATAACAATTACAAGAGTAATAATAATAATTATAATAAAAATGTCACCAGAAATACTGGTAGATTAATAATAATAACAATATCATTATAGTATATAAATAATAATAATAAACCACTTTGAGGAAAGAAGAAAGGAAGGAAGGAAGGAAGGAAGGAAGGAAGGAAGGAAGGAAGGAAGGAAGGAAGGAAGGGAGGGAGGGAGGGAGGGAGGGAGGGACGGACGGAGGGAGGGAAAGAGTTAACAATGCTAAAACTGACTGAAAAGAAACAGATAAAATAAATAGTGTTGTATTCTAGGATCCAGTCTTGTCATTCACTTGGACGAGATCTTTAGTCTTCCTAAATGTTCGGAATGTGCTGAAGCCCATTCTCAGGGAATTTCTGTCTAACTGCTTCTCTGTGTGCTTTGTGCTATTCTGGCTGTGTTATTTAGTTGTTGGTTTGGGTGTTGGGGTGTTGATGGCCAGCTATTAAGTTTTTCATTGCCTTCCAGCATTATTTCCAACTGGATCCCTAGAACAAAAGATTCCAGGATCCGGGGCTGAATCAATTTGCAGAGCTACTCTGAAGAAAGGAAGGTTTTTGCTTTGCTTCAGATTCACTTCTTCTCACTGTGACTCTCTTGCACAATAATAGACAGCTGTGTCTTCAGCTTTGAGGTTGTTCATTTGCAGATACAGCTGGCTTTTGGCATTGTCCCTGGAGATGGTGAACCGTCCCTTCACTTTGTGTGAGTAGTAAGTACTGGAACCAGTCGTTATGTAGGTCACCCACTCCAGTCCTTTCCCTGGAGCCTGTCTCACCCAGCCCATGTAGTAGCTGCTGAAAGTGAATCCAGAGGCTTGGCAGGAGAGACGGAGGGACCCTCCAGGGCTTCTCACATCCCCTCCAGACTCTACCAACTGGACCTGTGATTGGACACCTAGAAAGAAATGGGTTTCAGTGACATCTCTGTAAATAGTAATGGTGAATTGAAGGAAATGCTAGAGAGGGAAGCATTACCTTGGAGGACTGCTAGTAAGAAGATCAATTTTGGCCACAGAGTCATTTTTGCTCTTTCTAATGAATGCAGGGGAATTGGCAGGAAAGTATTCAGGAAAGTGCTCAAACTTTGCCTTGCAGGAAACCACCTGGCTGCTTTAAATGGGAAATTGTGGTCTGATTTACATATTGCTTCAGATAAAAGAGCCCCTCGGGACATTAACCTATACATTTCTTTGCACACATATTACAAACATGATTTACAAATCACATTACAGAAATACATATATACATACAGCAGACAGACAGAAAGTGAGTGGGTCAAGGCAGGAATGTTTTATTATTATGATTCATTACATAGTGATCCAGATGTTTATGATAGAATTGGCATTTTTATCCACCTATCCTTTAGGGGAAAGAGAGGTAATTAAAATCTGATTTGAAAAATCTTCATAGTTCAGGAAAATCTTTGAAGATAAGAAAAAGAAACCATGCACTGAGAATAATTTAAATAGGAAATAATTTTTTCCCCTCAACCTTGTTATACTGAAGATACTCAAAACAACTGAATGTTAACCAATCCATCAGGCACAATTTGTAAGCCACATGTGAATTGTGTTCACCTGTGCAAGTTGAGGTTCTTTTTATTATTAGATTGGTTTTATCTGAGCAAATTTATGCTTTTTGTCAATGCTGCTAACATTGGATGTTCTTGCTTTGACCACAGATGGAAATGTAGCCATTTTTCCTCTATCACTTTTAGAGTTAGTTGATGCTGGGAGGGGGAATATGGATGAGAGTCCAGCTAGTCATAACAATAATAACTCAGCTGTGGGAATCCAAGGTTATTGTGCCCAGAGTTGATAAAGATTTGGTGGGCTGGAGAGCTGGGGAGAAAGCTCATGCTTCAAGCTAATTGGGAAATGTGATTTATTACTGTTAATTGGAGGAGGGAATTGTGCTTTGCTACTTTGTGCCAGGGGAGGGGAATTCAGTTTTTGGCTTCAGATATGTAGTGCCAAAACTTTGTTTCTCGAATAAAAAATTCTTTAAGGTAAACAATGCTTCAAAGTTCTTTTGGAGAGTTTTATCTATCGGAACCATGACACTTTTCACATACTGGTTGGTTTTGGATTGCTATTTTTGTGTAATGTTTCTAGAGGTTGTTCACTGCCAAGATATGATTCCTCAAGATCAGTGGTTCTCAACCTGTGGGTCGGGACCCCATTTGGGGTCGAATGACCATTTCACGGGGGTCACCAAACCATGCTGTCCGCCATTTTTTTCCCTTTTCCATAGCTGTCCTACTCCCTCTTATTGGTGGCCACACCCACTTGGGGGTCACCACAACATGGGGAACTGTATTATGGGGTCACGGCATTAGAAAGGTTGAGAATCACTGCTCAAGATGGATAGTCATGCAAATTGAAATTATAATATTAATACCGCCTATACTAATACTATTAATAACAATGCTACCATGCACAATTTCCCTGTGGACTAAGAAATACAAATTCAGCACTTTGTATTCACTCAAAAAAAAAAGAATTTTATTCTATATTTAGCAGAGGACATCTGTAGTCAACTCAGACATGGCTTGAGATGTTCAAATTCCTTGAGTTCCTTTCAATGTACGCTTCCAAAAATGACTGGTCATTCCATTTCAAATGTGACTCTATGACACATTTTATTCTTGAGGGTTGGGGAAATTCTTATTTATATTCCCAAGTTCAGTGGAATCATAAAATAATGTTTCAGGAAGCATCATCCAGATGATCTAATTTAAACTGTCCCTAACTGGCAGATCTTGTCTTCTCACCTCCAGCTAAATGAAAATCTTTTAGCCAGATTTTGAAAAGTTTCCCTGTTCTCCCTTCATCCTATTTTTATTGTGACAAGGTTAATACAAATAATAATTTGCAATAATAACACAAATTGAAGGAAGGAAGGAAGGAAGGAAGGAAGGAAGGAAGGAAGGAAGGAAGGAAGAAAGGAAGGAAGGATAAGGAAAAGAAACAGAAACAGAAAAAAGAATCTTGGTATTTCTTCTGCAGCAAATATAAATATATTTACAATATTAACTCTTACTTTAGGTTACAAAAAGTAGACCTTCTTTTTCAATGACCCATTTTTTTTTAATCATCAAAAATATAAATGATTACTGTATGTTTTTTCCTTTCATACAAAATGTTTATGAAGGGTTCTCTAATCAAAGACATTAGTTTAAATTCTCTGCAGGGTTTCCATCATCTTCACCATTAATCCCTCCTTTGTGGGTAGAGTCGAGTGTTTCCATTTTTGAGCATGCAGCCCTGCAGCTTTCATATGTAAAAAGAGAGCTTCGTGACTTTTTTCTAGTTGCTTATCTAATAATCCCAAAAGAAAACTCACTGCTTTCAACTATAGCTTAACTCTCAATTTTTTTCTGAATTAGTGCACATATCTACAGTATATCTTTTTTAAAAAAATCTTTTTTGCATGCCCACCAAACCTGATAGAATTTTTCTCTATGTTGTTTTCATTTTTATCAAAGATTTGAACTGTCTAAGTATGGGCAAAGAACTTTGGACATTCTATAGATTTGAAAGACTGGCAAAAACTTTGGGATAAAAATATTAAGCTTACAAAAGCAGTAGCATATAAAGAAAACTTATATAAGGTGTTTTATAGATGGCATATGACACCAATTTGCTTAGCGAAAATGTTTAAAAATGTTTCGGATATTTGCCTCCAATGTAAACAACAGCCAGGCATTTATTACCATGCCTGGTGGATATGCCCTATCACTAAGAAATATTGGTCTAAGATCCATAGATGGTTGGAAAAGATGATGAAACTACAGATAGAATTTAAACCGGAATTGCTTTTGTTAGGAATATTAAGACCTAATTATGGTAAAGAGAATGACTACTTGATATTGCATGTTTTAACAGCTGCAAGGATAGTATTTGCCCAATTTTGGAAAAATGAGAATTTACCATCTGACCAGATTATAATTACTAAAATTTTAGAGTGTGCAGAAATGGATAGACTAACATTAGAAATGAAATAAAAAGATGATTCAATTTATTTTAGAACTTGGGAAAAAAATTATCAATGGTTAGAGACACGTTAAAACTTGAAGGAGTCAATATTTTAGAATAGATGACTGATTTTAATCGAGTTGTAACTAACATTTTGATAATATGATTATTTTTCCTGATTTACTGATTCTCATTTGTTACTTTTGATTGTTAGGATTTTTTGAGATTTTATTAGTAGTGTTTACTTAATAGATTAACGTATTTGTTTACTAATTGTTTTTAATATGTTATAGTCTAAGCTTTGGTAAAAATGGTTGAATATGGTATTTACTCATTATTATGATCCGGACGGTAGCTTGTTTGTTGAAATGTGTGATTGTACCTATCCTTATTTTACCCTAATGCCTTATTCCCTTCCCTTTCCCTTTTCCTTCCACCCCTCCCTTTATCATACTTGTATTGTTCCTATTTTTCCTCATCTATATAAACTTAATAAAATTTTGTAAAAAAAAAAAGATTTGAACTATCTAGACAGTTGTTGTTATTTCTGGTGACAAAAACCAATGATACATATCATTTTATAAAAAATTCTCTCCTTCACAGTGAAGATTGTAGCCTCCTAAGATGTGGAATTTTCTTTTCAGGGAACAGTTATAGAAAGAACAACCAATGATCACTCCTCCAAAATGAGGCATTGTCTATATAATTTATTTCTTGCCCAAACTCCAATTGGTTCATAGGAATTTGGTGTGACAACATTGCCCCCCACTGTCAAAGGTGAGGAGAGGACACATCTTCCTAATTCTCATGTATGTGTTTCACTTTGAGAGCGGGCAACTAAATTTCATTTTTGATGTGTGCCGTTGTGCCCACAGTAAAAAAATGACAATAACGTTTATCTTATCTTATCTCCAAAGAAACTCTTTTGTTTCACATGTTTCCCCAACATGTGAATGGCAGTTTGGATATTTAGATGGATTATCTTGAAGTTTCAGTTCCAGACTTCTGCCATGATACTAAAGCAGAATACGCCATTCCAGGAGTGAGAAATACAAATATAGCACTTTGTATTCACCTCCCCCCCCCAAAAAAAATCAGTTTCTTCTATATTTAGCAGAGGACATCTGTTGTCGGCTCAGACATGGCTTCATGCTGTGGGTTGAAGCCTCTTGAGATGTTCAGTTTCCTTTAGATCCTTTCAGTGTATTCTTCCCCCCCCCCCAAAAAAAAAAATATGACCAGTCATTCCATTTAAAGTGTTTCTCTATGTCAGATTTTATTATCTTGGATGTGGGATTCTTATTTATATTCCCAAATCCAATAAAATCATGGAATAATGTTTCAAAAAACACCACCCAGATCATTTAGACCAAAGCATCCCTAACAGCCAGATCTTCTCTGTTCATCTTTAACTTGACAGATTTTGGGAAGGTTTCCCTGTTCTCCCTTCATCCTTGGTTGATGAAGAGGTTTATAACGAGATGGAGTGCATATACATTAAAAAAAAGAATAAAATAAAATAGAATAAATACAATCAGCTTGGGGAACTGCTCATAGGGCAAGAAGATTCTTGACGGGCTTCAGATTCACTTCCTCTCACTGTGTCTCGTGCACAGTAATAGACAGCTGAATCCTCTGGTTTAAGGTTGTTCATTTGCAGATACACCCGAGTGTTGGAATCATCCCTGGACATGGTGAACCGTCCCTTGACTTTATCTCTGTAGTAAGCGGTAGGAGGTGAGCCTGTAGTTATGCGGCCCACCCATTCCAGGTCTTTCCCTGGATACTGTCTCAACCAGTTCATCCAGAAGACATTGAAGTTGAAACCAGAGGTTTGGCATAAGAGACTGAGAGACTGTCCAGGTCTTCTAACATCTCCTCCGGATTCCACCACCTGGACATCAGATTGGACCCCTAAAATGAAAGGAGTTTCAGTGAGCTCTCGTGTACACAAGAACTAAAAGGGAAGAAAAAAATATTACCTCTGAGGAGAGCAAGTAAGAACAACAGGCTTTGCCACAGGGTCATTTTTGCTTCCTCTAATGAATGCAGGGGAATTGCTAGAACAGGGTTTATTGTTATTATTATTATTATTTAGCCATACTCTAAATAAATAGATAGAAAAGAATCCAGGGAAGGGCTCAGATTTTGTGTAGCCTGAAAAGGGAAATCTTGTGGCTTCTTTAAAGGGCAAATTGTACCCTGATTTACATATTGCTTGGGTTAAAACAGACCCATTCACTTTTTAAAGGTGTCTTTCCACAGACTTTAAATGCATGATTTTCAAATGATGTTCCAATCATAAAGAAAAAAAAACTGATGCCAGTTTTCATGCTTTGTTTTTGTTTTCATATGAGTAGATAGGAGGAAGAACTGGTTTACTTTAAAGTCAGTAAAAGAAGGACTTTAATCATCCCACCACTTCTGAAATAAATTTATAATAAATAGGATACATTTATACAAAGACATGTTTACAGAAATATATTAACTACCAAATATCTCTATCTTTATTTCTATCTCTATCTCTATCTCTGTCTCTGTCTCTATCTCTATCTCTATCTCTATCTCTATCTATCTCTATATCTAAATCTATATCTATCTATATTTATATAAACTACCACATCGGAATTTGCTGTACAATTGCTATTTCTTTTCAGTTTCCCTTCTTTCTTTCTTTCTTTCTTTCTTTCTTTCTTTCTTTCTTTCTTTCTTTCTTTCTTCCTTCCTTCCTTCCCTCCCTCCCTCCCTCCCTCCCTTCCTCCTTTCTCTCCTTCTGTCTTTCTGTCTTTCTTCTTTTTTCTTATGAGAAAAATCAAGAAATCGCTCCCAAAATTCAATTTCCTGTACAATTAAGAAATGCTAGCTGCTGTAAATTCTGATGTGGGTTCATAGTGGAAATTGTAGTCATTTTGAGATCTTTTAAGGGAAAGTTTAAGCAAGTCAGAAAAGATATAATTGGCTTTGGAAATGAGGCTGTATTTCTGCACACTGGTTTATTTCTTTGCCCAGTTCTCCCTGCCTGGACAACATAATTGAGTGTGACAATATTACCCCCTGTGGCAAGTGATGAGAAGGAGTCAGCTATTATTCAAGGACATCATTATATTTCTGGAGGGGAAGAGAAACAGAGAACAAACGAAGGTTCCCCAGAAGAAAAAGCTCAATGTGATATATGCAGTACAATGTAATGAGTCAGATCTGTACATTGGTGAATCAAGACAACCCATTTCACAAATGCATGGCTCAACATAAGAGAGCAAATTCATCAGGCCAAGATTCATCAGTCCATCTGCCTTTGAAAGACAAAAATCACTCTTTTGAAGACAGCAAAGTCCACATTCTGCATAGAGAGGACCATTGGTTTGAAAGAGGGGTAAAATAGGCCATTCATGTTAACACTGAGCAGCCCTCTCTCAACAGAGGGGGAGGGATAAGACCCCACCTATCTCCTGTCTGCAACGTAGTCCTTACTGCAGTTCAACCCCCATTTGCAGTCTGATACAGGTGAATCATAAACCCCTAAGTGGCCTCAAGAATTCTCAGGGAGAGTGCTAACAATCAGATGACTGCAAAGAAATACGATCAGTGATGGGATTCAGCCAGTTCGCACCACTTCAGCAGAACCGGTAGCTAATTTTTTGTTGCCCAGGCCCAGAATGGACTTCTGGAACTGGTTGTTCACATATTTGAATCCCATCACTGAATATGATCCTTCCAATCCATCTGCCCCCCATTCTATCACAACTAATGTTTCCATCACTCCCACTATCCTGCCAGAACTGAGTAAGCTGCTTGGATGAAGAGAAACATATTTCTCAAAGAAAAACAAAACAAAACAATCCAATAGCCTTTTGTAAAAACACCTGTCAGACAACAGATAGCAAAGAATATAAATAAATGTAGAAGGAAATAAAAATATGTAAGAGATAGAAAAGAGTTAATCAAAAGAGAGTTGTTGATGACTGAGAGAATGAAAGAGGATCAAACCGCACAATAACATATAATGGAAGAATTTTAGATATTGAACTCAATTTCTACCTCTATTAAAATCTTTATTTTGGTTTAAATAAAACTACACGGTTCATTCTATATCCAAGGAATTTCCTTCTTTTCCTCCTGACAAATGCTAATCAGCTTCTCTTTAGATTAATCCAAGATGAGATATTAGTTTCCACTTGTCTGTGACAAACACCAATGGTAATTTATTTTATGAAAATTCTCAGCTTCCCAGTGAGCAATATACTTTCCTGAGATATAAATAAAGGTATAAATAAAACTACACGGTTCATTCTATTGCCAGAGAAATGCTAATCAGATTCTCTTCAGATTAATTCAAGATCAAATTTTGGGTTCCGCTTGCTATGATGTAAATGTATGGGCTGCTTCTCTATTGGAGTGCACAAATCCAAACTTCTAGGACTGAATCAATTTGGAGAACTGCTGAGAGGGTGAGAAAGTTCTTGGTAGGCTTCAGATTCACTTCCTCTCACTGTGCCTCTAGCACAGTAATAGACTGCCGTGTCTTCAGCTTTGAGGCTGTTCATCTGCAGATACAGCTGGCTTTTGGCATTGTCCCTGGAGATGGTGAAGCGTCCCTTGACAGATTCTGCATAGAATTGCTTACTGGCATCATACCAAATAACTGCAATCCATTCCAGTCCTTTTCCTGGAGCCTGTCTCACCCAGTGCATGCCATAGCTGCTGAAGGTGAATCCAGAACCTTGGCAGGTGAGACGGAGGGACCCTCCAGGGCTTCTCACATCCCCTCCAGACTCCACCAACTGGATTTGAGACTGGACTCCTAAAAAAAAAGTTTTTTTATTTTTTATTTTTTTTTTAAATGAATGAGATCGCCTGAATATAGGAGCAGAACATGGAAATAAACTCTATAGGGGAAAAATAATTACCTTGGAGGACTACTAGTAAAAACACAATGTTTAGCCACATTTTTGCTCACTCTAATGAGTGGAGGAAATTGACAACAGGGGATTCAGGACACTGCACAGGTTTTATGTTGGTGGGTGCTAGCTGAAGAGGGAAATAATGGGGCTCCTTTAAAGGGGAAATTGGCTCTCAATTTACATATCTGTTGGGATAAAAGAGCCACTCAGTGCATTGGCTAATATATTTCAGTGAGCATAACTTGCATGTGCATTTTGCAGTTAAGATTCCAATCCGAAGAAAAGGGTTGGGACCCATTTCCCCCCCCCTGTGAGTTAATAGGAGAAAGGGTCAATTTCTTGTACATTAAGTAAAAGAAATACCTAAAAATATTCAGCCCTTTTCAAAATGATTCTAGGTAATATAGAATAAACTTATTTACATATTGCAGATCATATAAAAAGGAGAGAACATCAGAGTTAGAATGTTTGCTACAAAATTGCTTCCTTAACCTTTGTTTATTTTATGAAACATCCCAAATTCATTAAATGGCAGTTAAGCTTTAAGGAACACTTGAAGCAGTATTAGTATCTGTAATATTTTAACTGTTTTATATGTTCACTGAATATGATAATATAATCTTTTGATTGTATTTCCATTTCCAGCAAAGATTTGATAAGTTTGTCTGGTAACAACAAAAACAAAAAAATCCATCTTTTGATAAAAATTTCTCAGTTTCACATTGAATTTTCCTACAAAGTAAAATTTTCTTGAAAACTTTTTATTGGATTATTACAGAAATAAAATAAAAAATGTCCTGCAAAACATTTAATAACATTTGTTTCATTCCCTTCCCCAACCCTACCAGGTGCACTTCTTCTTCTTCTTCTTGTGCCATATCCATTATCGGATGTTGGCGATCATGTTGGCGATCCTGTTTTTATCAGCAGCCGCACAAAAAAGTTTGTCCAAACCAGTCCCTTAGATTTTGAAGCCATGATGTTCTTCTTCTGCCTGGACCTCGTTTGCCTTCAATCTTTCCCTGGAGGATTAAGTGGAGTATGCCGTGTTTTTCTGGGTGTTGCATCACATGTCCGAAATATTCTAATTTTTGTTTTTTAATTGTTTTGATGATTTCCCTTGGCTTTCCCAGGTGGCTTATCACCTTCTCATTTCTGATCTTGTTAACCCAGTTTATACGTAACAGCCGCCTGTAAATCCACATTTCAAATGCTTCTAGTCTCTTCAGATGGCCTTCCGTCAGAGACCAACTCTCTACTCCATAGAGCAGGATAGAAAAAATATAGCATCTGACAAGCCTGATTTTCAGTCTTAGGCTTATGTTGTGACTGCAGAAGACCTTTTTCATTTTGAAGAATGCTGTTCGGGCTTTTTCTATCCTTGTCTTTACTTCAACGGTCATGTCCCAGCTTTCATGTAAATTGGAACTGAGGTGCGTGATCCTTTCTAGTGGTATTCCTTCTGAATTTATTGGTGGTAAATTAACAGGTTGTTTGCTGACAACCATAATCTTGGTTTTTGAGGTATTAAGGTTCAAACCATATTTTTCAGATATTTCTGTGACTCTGTTGATGAGGAGCTGAAGATCTTCATGCTTACTGGTCGCATACCACCTGCCAGGTGCCAATGTACCACAGGTGGTACCCATACTACCGGTTGAAAAGCCCTGATTTAAGATATAAAAAAATCAGGGCTTTTCAACCAGTGTTATGGGTACCACCTGTGGTACATTGGCACCTGGCAGGTGGTATGCAACATCCTAGAAAAGTGGTAGTGGGGGAGGGGAATGAGCTGAACCGGTGGTAACACCGCACAAGGCTAAGCGAGAGACAGCTGGAGCTGCAGGGCTGTCAGGGCTCAGTGGAAGCACCAGGATTAGCGCCAGGCTCCAGCTGGAACTCGGCGCTGATCCTGGCACTTCTGCTGAGCCCAGAAGAAGAGCCAATCAGTTGGAATGTTGCAGCATCTCCAGGGTCTTATGATTTACATTCAGATGCTTGGTAACTGATTCATATTTATGATGGTCACAGTGTCCCAGGTCATGTGAAGTGACCAAAACCTGCTGCAGCCACCCAGCAGATGGGGGGGAATAAAAAACACACACACTCCACCCCACCCCAGCTGCCAATCCTCAACAGAAATGCTCACAATAATCAAAACCTCAGACAAGAGGAAGAGCGCTGCCAGGCGGGCAGGCAGGTGTCTTGCTCAGCTGTGGCGGGCACTTTTTCAGTGCCATTGTAACTTCGAACAGTCACTAAGCAAATTGTTGTAAGTCGAGGACTACCTGTACTTTATCACTTTTTTCCTTTTTTGGGGGGTCATCAAGTTTTTGACACCTTGCTGGCGACTGGTGGTACTCGGATATTGCCATATCCTAAAAGTGGTACAATGGGTGAAAAAGTTGAAAAGCCCTGTCTTAAATTATTGATCCAAACACCGTTTACTTTGATGCCAGCATCAATGTTCTCCAGTGCCTCGTTGAAGATTGATTCAGAGTAGATATTGAACAACAGTGGAGACAGAATACATCCCTGTCTGACCCCCCTTCTTATCTCTCCATCAGCTGAGTATTTTTAGCCTAGTCTCACATTTGCTACCTGATGCCAATACAGATTCTTTATGATTTGGATGTCTTTGTCATCTAAACCCCCTTGTTTCAGGATTTCTAATAGTTTGCTGTGTCTTATTTTATCAAATGTTTTTTTCAAAATCAATGAAGCACATGTAAACACTGTGATTGACATCTCTACAATGCTGTACAAGAACTTGAATGCTGAATAGCACATCTCGTGTACCAAGATTGTTTCTGAAACCAAATTGTGTGTTACCTAGACCCTCTACAATTTTGTATATTCTTGTGTGAATTATTCTCAGGAATATTGTCAGGGCATGACTCATTAACCTTATTGTTCTGTATTCGGTACACTTCTTTGCATTTATTTTTGGGGGGATTGTCACAAAGGTTGATTTTAGCCAATCATTTGGTATCTTTCCTGTTTCATATATCTGACTGAAGAGCTGCAGTAAAAAAAATTCTTCCCATTGTCTTCCAGCAATTTTAAAATTTCTACTGGGATATCATCAGATCCTGTGGCTTTTCTTGTTTTTGCTATTTTTATTGCATGTTCAACCTCCTCCATAGTGATGTTTGGTCAAGTTCTTATACCTCTCATATCTATATCACCCCTAGTGTCCTCAAAAGGTTCTCCGATATATTCCTTCCATCTTTTTAGTTTTTCCTCCTCATCTAAGATAATTTCTCCCTCTTTGTCAACTAAGTTCTTTTTGTAGAGGCCTGCTCTGTCTTTCACTTTTTTGTGTAAATTGAAATTATCATGTATACGTTCTGTCTCTTCTATTTCCTTGCATCTCTTTGCAAACCACTTTTCTTTTGCCAGTCGAATTTTTCTTCTAATTGTTTTCTGGAATTCATTGTATTTTTCTTTGTTTTTATTTTTATAAGATCTTCTTTCATCCATGAGATGAAGAATTTCCTCTGTCATCCACTGTTATTTCTTGTGGTACCCCTCTCTCTGTTCTGAATTTGTTACCTCTACTATTGCACTTTTAAATTTATTCCAGTTCGCTTCTACATCATCATCATTCAGGTTGTTGGTTTCCCTTAAATGATTTTCTAGTTCAGACATTGGAATTTCATATAACAACATTGCCCCCCAGTGTCAAAAGTGAGGAGATGAAGCATGCTCCTTATTCTCCAAGGAGATTCTTTTGGTGCAGGTGTTTCCTCACAAGGAGAAATGGCAGTTTGGATGTTTAGAAGTTTCACCCTGAAGTTTCATTTCCAGGTTTCTCCCGTGATACTAAAGGGTAATATTCCATTTCATGGTTGTTGTTGTTTTTTCTGAAGATAGATCACCTTATAAACAGAGAAGTTGAAACTGGAATTTTCAAGCCATTTTCATCATCTTACTTTTTTTTCCAGCAAACTATTTAGATGAATAGAAGGAAACAGTCCTAAGCTTCCCACTAGAACAGGGGTAGTCAACCTTGGGTCTTTTATGAATCGTGAACTTCAATTCCCAGAATTCCTAAGCCAGCTGGCTCAGGAATTCTGGGAGTTGGTCCACGAGTCATAAAAGAGCCAAGGTTGACTACCCCTGCACTAGAAGGTGATCAATCTTCATTGGCTAATCAAGGATCTGGGACTCAATTTGTATTTATAATGTTTTCCCTATTTTGCATGTTAGATAGGTATGATAGTAAAATCCCTTCATTTTGTTTTCATTTCAGGGAAATATTTGAAATACCTCGACAACTTGTCTGTGGCAAACACCAATGAAAATTCTCAGCTTCCTGGTGAGCAATATACCTTCCTAAGCTATAAATAAAGGTTTAAATAAAACTACATAATTTATTTTATTGCCAAGGAATTTTCTTCTTTCCCCCAGAGAAATGCTAGTCAGGATCTCTTCAAATTGATTCAAGATCAGATTTTGGGTTTTGCTTGCTATGATGTAAATGTATGGGCTGCTTCTCTATTGGAGAGCACAGATCCAAACTTCTATGACTGAATCAATTTGGAGAACTGCTCAAAGGAGGAGAAAGTTCTTGGTAGGCTTCAGATTCACTTCCTCTCGCTGTGTATCTTGCACAGTAATAGACAGCTGTGTCCTCTGGTTTGAGGCTGTTCATTTGCAGATACAGCTGGCTTTTGGCATTGTTCCTGGAGATGGTGAAGCGTCCCTTGACAGATTCTGCATATTCTTGCTTACTGGCATCGTACCAAATAACTGCAATCCACTCCAGTCCTTTTTCTGGAGCTTGTCTCACCCAATGCATGCCATAGTTTCCAAAATTAAAACCGGACCCTTTGCAGAAAAGAAAGAGGGATTGTCCAGGTCTTTTCACATAACTTCCAGATTGTTCCAGCTGAACACTGCATTTAATACCTGGGAAAAAAATAAGTTACATTCATTCATCTTTAGACTGTATGTGTATGCATGTATGCACTTAAGTATAGTCACAGTTGTAATTATAGTTGTACTTGTAGATGTGTAGAGAGAGAGAGAGAGGAAAACATCACCTGGAAACAGAGATGAACTGAAAATTAACTGCAGTAGAAGAATAATACTATGACTCATTTTGGAGGGAAGCAATATGGTTGTTGCTTTGAAAGTGGTCAAAATGATATGTGAGGTAGCTTTTTCTGGAGATTTTTCAGCAGAGAGTTTTAAACAGGAAGCCTTCCCTGAATTTACATAGTAATTATAATAAAGAGGGCAACCCTTCTATATAATGTTAGGACCTCTTTACTCAAGTTTTGGAAATACAGCTTCCTCTAACATTCAAACTAAAGTTCTAGGGAAGAAACAACTCAGAATATTTTGAAGATCCAAAATGGTTTTCAGATGAAGGTTGAGGGTCTTTCATCATAGTTCCAGGAAAATGTTCTCCATTCGTCCTTGACTCAGGAAAATAACCCTGTCCCCTGGAAGTTGAGTCATGGCACTTGGACCTAAAAAAGCAGTGAAATGCTTTAAATCAAAAATCAAAGAACCCCAGAAGCCCTCACTCAACATCCTGACAACTCTTACTGGATGACTGAGAATCTTCATTGACTTATCTCCTGGAGTCCCTTTCTTGCCTCAACTTTCCCAGCCATCTCTGTCTCTAAGACCTTCGTCAAGAGTTGTACCAAACTTTTGCAAATGAAGGCAAATATAGGTGTCCCAGATTGGATCCTGCCAGACTTTTCTCCAAAGTAATGGATGGCCAAGTCTGAGTGAACACCCTGGGATTTTCCTTTGCAGAATTTGAAATAAAAAAAGAAAATACTATTTTAACAGCACTATTGCTGAGGACAACTCACATCTGTTTCATTCATAGAGATAGACTGAGATGAAGACAATAAAAAAAAAAGTTGTTTGTCCCATGGGAGTGTGCAGATGGGGAAAAGTCTTACATAGAATAACATAAACGAGCTTCAAAGTTTGTCCCTGGTAAAATTGTTCCTAAGTACAGTTCCATCTCTATGTACACTGGACGCCTTTTGATCACTTCTTATCACTTCATTTGACTTAGCAGGGGGTTGGACTAGAAGACCTTCAGGTCCCTTCCAATTCTATTGTTCTGTTCTGTTCTGTTCATTAAACCAGAAACTCAAACCAAATATATTGCATACATAGTCCTTAGAATAGAATATTGTTTTATCTGTATCAAAATAAATATAATAGTCATTATCTCCATTAAAATTATAGACTTCTTTACAACAAATTTTGAGAATATGTTGTTAATTGCGAAGTCGTGTCCGACCCTTCACGACCCCATGGACAATGTTCCTCTAGGTCTTCCTGTCCTCTACCATCTTCTGGAGTCCATTTAAGTTCATACCTTCTGCTTCAGTGACTCCATCCAGCCACCTCATTCTTTGTCGTCCCCTACTTCTATTGCCCTCAATCTTTCCCAGCATTAGGCCCTTCTCCAGTGAGTCCTTCCTTCTCATTAGGTGGCCAAAGTCTTTGAGTTTCAACTGGCCTTCTAAAGACCAGTTGGGGTTGATCTCTTCTAGGACTCACTGATCTGAATGCCTTGCAGTCCAAGGAACTCGCAGGAGTCTTCTCCAGCACCATAGTTCAAAAGCCTCAATTCTTTGTCGCTCAGCCTTTCTTATGGTCCAACTTTCACATCCATACATTGCAACTGGGAAAATCATGGCCTTGACTATATGCACTTTTGTTGGCAGAGTGATGTCTCTGCTTTTTAGAATCCTGTCTAGATTTGCATAGCTTTTCTCCCCAGGAGCAAGCGTCTTTCAATTTCTTCGCTGCAGTCCCCATCTGAAGTGATCTTGGAGCACAGGAAGATAACATCTGTCACTATCTCCATTTCTTCCCCATCTATTTGCCAGGAATTAAGAGGGCTTGATGCCATGATTTTGGTTTTCTTAATGTTGAGTTTCAAGCCAACTTTTGCACTCTCCTTCTTCACTTGCATCGAGAGAGACATGGTTAACTATTAGTACATAGGACAACTGAAAGGATTTCATTTGAGTAAATGTATGTCTTGCTTTGCAATGTGAACATTCTGGGGATAATTTTATTTGCCTGCATACCCAAAGTTGCAGATCTATAAGACAAGGCAGACAGATTTCCCCACTTTTATTTCCCTGTGAAAGCAAGGTGCTTAGGGATTCCAGTTGTTCTCACCCCCAGATGTTAGTGAGAGATAACCCAAGTCAAGAAACCCTTCAAAATATTCAGAGAGCTTCTAGGAGGGAAGGTTTGCAATGTCCAATATTTACCTCTCATCATCCCAGTTGAGGGGATAGAGCTTGGATTAAGGAGACTGAATACATATTAATGTATAAATGTAGAAGAAATAAAAAAGGAGTAACATACTGTATACAATGGAATTAAACTGAGGAGAGTTATCAATACTGAAAAAAAAATGGACAGAACTGCAAAACATAAAAAGGATGAATTGTAACCAGAGATTGCCACAAGAAGTTGGCACAAAGAAGAGGGAGTCAAGCTATTCTCCAAACCCCCTGAGGGCAGGAGAAGAAGCAATGGATAGAAACTGATCAAAGAGAGAAGCAACCTAGAACAAAGGAGAAACTTGTTGACAGTTAGAACAAGTAATCAGTGGAACAACTTGCCTCCAGAAGTTGTGAATGCTCCAACACTGGATGTTTTCAAGAAGAGATTGGACAACCATTTGTCTGAAATGGTGTAGGGTTTCCTGCCTGAGCAGGGGGTTGGACTAGAAGACCTCCCAGGTCCCTTCCAACTCTGTTATTCTACTCTATTCTGTAGGACATCAATCCATGTTTCTACCTTTAAATAAATCTAAACTTTTTAAAAAGTACCCAGTTTCAAATACTGACCGCAGATTGTTTCTTTTTTCCCTACCAAACTGTCAACCAGGTTCCACACTGCATATTCCAAGACCAGTCCTGCACTTCCACTTGCCATCATGGAGATTTATTGGCTGCTCCAATTTTACAAATTTAACTTTCTGTAAGGAACTCAATTTGAACAGCTGCTCTGATGAGAAGGTTCTTGCTTGGCCTCAGATTCACTTCCTCTCACTGTGTCTCTAGTACAGTAATAAACTGCCGTGTCTTCCAGTTTCAGACTGTCCATTTGCAAATACAGCTGGCTGCGGGAATCATCCCTGGAGATGGTGAAACGTCCCTTGACTTTGTCCGAGTAGCGTATTGGAGATGAAGATGTACCTATATGTGCCACCCATTCCAGTCCTTTCCCAGAAGCCTGTCTCACCCAGTACATGTAATAGCTGCTGAAGGTGAATCCAGAGGCTTGGCAGGAGAGACGGAGGGACCCTCCAGGTCTTCTCACATCCCCTCCAGATTCCACCAACTGGACCTCAGAATGAACACCTAAAAAGAAAGGTGTATCAATACACTCTCCAGTATACAAGAATTAAAATGGAAACAACTGAATACCTAGAAAAGAAACAATTACCTCTGAGGAATGCTAGTAGGGATACCATGTTTAGCCACAGAATCATATTTGCACCCTGTAATGAATTGAGAGGAGCTAATAGGATAGAATTCAGTAAAATGCACAACTTTGTGTTGCTGGGTGTAGCCTTAAAAGGAAAAGCAATTGGCTCCTTTAAAGGGGAAATTGTGACTCGATTTACATATTGGTTGAGATAAAAGTGTTCCTCAGTGAATTCACCTTATAGTTTCCTTGCCCAATACCCTACAATGTTGATTTTTACATAACTTTTCAGTTTTAAGAAAAGTGAAGGCAACCTTTACATTAAAATAATTTTAAAAATTGCAAAATAAAGTAAATTGCACTATCCTATAAAGTCGCCAAGAGTTGCACATGACTAAATGGTTAAAACAATAACAATTAAAACAAAGACTTGGAACATGTCACCCCCTATGAAAAGTGATTCAAGATTATAGATTATGAACGTGCACTGAGAATTTTTGAACGGGACATGTTAGAGACAGAACATGAGAAGAACAGCTCATCTAAGATTAGAAAAGGTTTTACATCCCCCCCTTAATAGGTCTTTTTGAGAAAAAAAAACATAAAAGAATGCTGCATAGGTCAAGACACAAGGCACAACTTATAAGTTAGGCCTCAGTTGGAGAAATGGAAAAAGGCTGGTTTCAGCCTGTAGGATGTTCTCTGCTTATTAAATTGGGTTTTAATTTGACAATTGTATAAATATTTGTTGTGGTTGCTATTTTGTCATTTTGTGTAGTGTTTTCATCACTAGTTAGTTGCTCAGAGTTGATTTGCCAAGATGGGCAATCATACACATTGAAACAACAACAACAACAACAACAACAACAATAACAATAATAATGGCAAGAATAATAGTAATAGCAATTGTAATAAAAATGTCACCAAAAACGTTTTCTGCCAATTGAAAAATACTAATAAACAATTTTGTATTCCTAAATACAATTCAGTTTTGCTTTTTATATTTTATAAAACACAGCTGCTCAATGTGATATGTCTTAACGCTGAGCCTGTATATACATATTTGTTCTATTCCCTTCCCCACCCCCACCAGGTGCACAGAAATTGGAATTTCATGTAGCAACATTACCCCCCAGTGTCAAAAATTTGGAGGGGAAGCCTGTTCTTAATTCTACACGGAGATTCTTTTGGTGCAGGTGTTTCCTCCATATGTGAATGGCAGTTTGGATATTTAGAAGTTTCACCCTAAAGTTTCATTTCCAGTCTTCTGCCATGATACAAAAGGACAATATTGCATTCCATGTTATTTTTTTCCCCCTGAAGATAGATCACCTTCTAAATAGGAAAGATGAAACTAGAATCTTTAAGCCAATTTCATCATCTTACATTTTCTTCCAGCAAACTATTTAGATGAATAGAAGGAAAGGATCCTAAGCATCCCACTAGAACAGAGGTCTTCAAACATGGCCCTTTTATGACTTGTGGACTTCAAATCCCACAATTCCTCAGCCAGGCATGCTGGTGGAGGAATTCTGGGAATTGAAGTCCACAAGACATAAAAGGGCCAGGTTTGAAGACCCCTGCACTAGAAGGTGATCAGTTTTCATTGGCTAATCAAGGATATGGAACCGGATTTGTATTTACGAGGTTTTCCCTGTTTTGCATGTTAGATGAGTATGATAATAAAATCCCTTCATTTTGTTTTCATTTCAAGGAAATATTTGAAATACCTCAACACCTTGTCTATGACAAACACCAATGGTAATTTATTTTATGAAAATTCTCAGCTTCCTGGTGAGTAATATACCTTCCTGAGATATAAATAAAGGTATAATTAAAACTACACGGTTCATTCTATTGCCAAGAAATTTCTTTCTTTTCCCCCCAGAGAAATGCTAATCAGGTTCTTTTCAGATTAATTCAAGATCAAATTTTGGTTTCCACTTGGTGTGATGTAAATGTATGGTCTGCTTCTCTGTTGGAGTGCACAAATCCAAACTTCTATGACTGAATCAATTTGGAGAACTGCTCAAAGGAGGAGAAAGTTCTTGGTAGGCTTCAGATTCACTTCCTCTCACTGTGTCTCCTGCACAGGAATAGACGGCCATGTCCTCTGGTTTGAGGTTGTTCATTTGCAGATACAGCTGGCTTTTGGCATTGTCCCTGGAGATGGTGAAGCATCACTTGACAGATTCAGCATATTCTTGGTTACTGGCATTGTACCAAATTACTGCAATCCATTCCAGTCCTTTTTCTTGAGCTTGTCTCACCCAATGCATGCCATAGCTTCCAAAGTTAAATCCAGAGCCTTGGCAGGGAAGAGAGAGGGACTCTTCGGGTCTTTTCACATAATTTCCAGATTGTTCCAGCTGACCACTGCATTTAATACCTGGGAAACAATAAGTATTGTTAGATTCATTGATCTTTAGACTGTATGTGTATGCATGCACATACAGTCTAGAGAGAGAGAGGGAGGGAGGGAGGGAGGGAGGGAGAGAGAGAGAGGGATTGAGGGAGGGAGGGAGGGAGAGGGAGAGAGAGAGAGAGAGAGAGAGAAGAAAACATCACCTGGTAACAGAGATGAGCTGAAAATTAACTGCAGTAGAAGTATAATATTACTATCTCCAACACTGGAGATTTTTAAGAAGAGACTGCACAGTCCCTTGTCTACAATGGCATAGGTTCTCCTGTTCAGCGGGGGGTTAGACTAGAAGACCTCCAAGGTACCTTCCAGCTTTATTCTATTCCTACCTTAAATGAATTTTTACATTTTTAAAAGTACCCAGTGTCAAATACTGACCATAGATTGTTTCTTTTCTCCCTACCAAATTGCTAACTAGATTCCACACTTCTTATTCTAAGACAGTGATTCTCAACCTTTCTAATGCCGTGACCCCATAATACAGTTCCCCATGTTGTGGTGACCCCCAAGTGGGTGTGACCACCAATAAGAGGGATTAGGACAGCTAGGGAAAAGGGAAAAAAATGGCGGACAGCATGGTTTGGCGACCCCCGTGAAATGGTCATTCGACCCCAAATGGGGTCCCGACCCACAGGTTGAGAACCACTGTTCTAAGATCAGTTCTGAGCTTCCACTTGCCATCATAGAGATTTATTGGCTGCTCCAATTATTACAAATTTAGATTTCTGTAAGAAATTCAATTTGTACAGCTGCTCGGATGAGAAGGTTCTTGCTTGGTGTCAGATTCACTTCCTCTCACTGTGACTCTCTTGCACAGTAATAGATAGCTGTGTCCTCTGGTTTCAGATTGTTCATTTGCAGATACAGCTGGCTGGGGGAATCATCCCTAGAGATGATGAAGCATCCCTTGACTTTGTCCGAGTAGTTGATCGGAGATGAGGATGTATCTATCCTTGCAACCCACTCCAGTCCTTTCCCTGGAGCCTGTCTCACCCAGCCCATGTAATAGCCGCTGAAGGTAAATCCAGAGGCTTGGCAGGAGAGACGGAGGGATCCTCCAGGTCTTCTCACATCCCCTCCAGACTCCAGCAACTGGACCTCAGATTGGACACCTAAAAGGGAAAGTGTGTCAAAAAGCTGTCCTGTATACGACTTCCGGTGGTTGAAGCGGTGGAGATGGCGGCTACTTTGTAGCCGTCCTCCTGAGAAGGTGTTAGATCCGCGGAGCACAGCGTTTATCAGCTGGCCCGCGGCTCACAATCCCCTTCCCGGGCGAAGGGAAGGGGTAGAGATCGCATGAATAGAGGTAGAACCTCTTAACTCTCCCTGGATTTTTATTTTTAGGGGGAGAAAGAGGTTCCCTCGGAGTTCATTGCCTTCTCCGCCTCTCAGCTGTCTTTGTTTCTTCAGAAACAAAGCGAGACGCCGCTACCATCTCCGTATTTAAAGAAACCGTGAGTAATCTTAAACCGGACAGAACTGTTTAAAGGATTTTATTTATAGTTTAGTTTTATTTTATTTTTTTTCTAGTTTATTTAGTTTATTTAGTTTGTGTTGATTTTTTTTTTTATTTTTTCGAGCTTTCTTTTTTTTTTGGGCGGAAAAGTGAGAGTGAAAGTAAAATGGCGTTTTGAAACTTTTTTTTTCTTTAGAAGACGGTTCGGCTGAATTGTTGTTTAATATTGCTTTTTTTTTTACTTTATTCTATTTTATTTTATTTTTAATTTTTTCTTGGACTATTTATTTTTATTGGTACTTTTAAGAAGAAAGGAAGATAAATTAAAATGGCTTCAAAACGACAACCAGCTACTGCAGCCTCTAAAGTAACTTCTTCTCCTGCTACTTCTACTGTGCAGCAACAACTTAAAATAATACCTTCAGTGCAGCAACCTAAATCTACTCCACCTTCACCTCCCACATCTGGCACATCAGCACAAGACATTAAAGAAATAATGGTAAGTGCTGTTTCACAGTTTAGGGAGGAAATGAAACAACTTTTGGATCAGAATAAATCTGAAACTAAGGAGGAAATGAAGAAAGAGATGAAGGAGCTTTTAGAACAGAATACTGCTATTTTGAGGGATGATATACTTTTAGCTCTATCTGGAATGGCCTCAGTGGTTGTGAAGCTGGACTCCAGAGTAGAGGAAATTTAAGAAACAGTTGAACTTTTGGATTATAAATTTCAAGATATGGAGAAAAAAGTGGAGACTTCACAAGATGATATTCTTATGTTCCAGTATAGACAGATGGACTATGCTTTGAGAATAAGGGGTCTGAAAGAAGATAAAACTCAAGATTTGATGGAAATGGTGATTAATGACTTGGCTGTTATTTTGAATATTGATAAAGAAGAGTTACTTGGGGATGTGGAAAGAATTTATAGAGTTAATTCTTGGATTGCAAAACAGAGGAATTTGCCTAGAGATGTGGTGATATATTTTGCTGAGAAGTCTTTGCGAAATCAGATTCTACAAACTTTTTATAATAAAAGATTTCAGATTGCTGCCCAAGATATTATTATTTTAAAGGAAATTCCACCTAAAATTTTTAGAAGCAGAAAAGATTTTGCTTTTTTAGTAAATGAACTTAAAGCAAGACAAATGCCATTTAGATGGGAGATTCCGATGGGCATTGTTTTGAGCCATGCGGGGACACGTTATAGACTCAACACAGTTGCTAAAGCTAAGGAATTCTATAAAACGGTCCTGGGAGCAGGCTCTCCTTTGCCCATGATGCAGAAAGTTTTGAGTGATAAAGAGGTGGAACAGAAATCTGAAGCTACAGGGATGATGACTGCTGGACAGGTGGCATGGATGTCTCAATCAGAGATTAAAGAACAGAGAATGACCCGTGCAGCACATAAACGTAAAGAAAAAGAACAACAGAAAAAAGAAAAGGAAAAAGAAATTGGAGAATCGACTCAGCAAATTGTTTCAGTGCCGGTGGGAGGAGCAAGACCCAAAAGCTCTGCTACATATTCATCAGCAGCAGAATTTGAGCGGATTTTCTCCAGGCTGAAGGCCAAGGGAGATGGCAAAGCTCCTGTCCTTGAATATTAATGGATTAAACACTCCTCAAAAGAGAAAAAAAATTTACCACTATTTGAAACAACATAACAATGACATCATTTGCTTGCAAGAAACTCATATTACAGCTAAAGACCAAAAATATTTAAATAATCCTCGCTTGGGATCTCATTTTGTATCTCCCGCCCCTGGGAAGAAAGGGGGTGTGGTAATCTACGTTAAACAGAATTTATCTGCTACCCTGTTAGAATCAGATCCTTACGGAAGATATGTTATGCTTGAACTTGGCTTATATGGTAAGAAAATCCTTATTGTGGGGTTGTATGCACCAAACCAGCAACAGGAGCAATTTTATAGGTTACTACATCAGAAAATAACTTTGTTGGATTATAGATCTGTGATTTTAATGGGAGACTGGAATGGTGTCTTAGACACACAAATGGATAAAAAAGGCTCTTCTACCTTTTTTAAACAGGCTAAACTACCTAAAGCCTTTTTCGATATGAAAGAAGATTGGGAATTGAGAGACTATTGGCGTGAACGTAATCAAGAAGAAAAGGATTTTACGTTTTTCTCAGATAGACATCAATCTTTTTCAAGAATTGATTTCTTTTTGATTACAACAGATTTATACAACAGGGTAAAGAATGTAAAAATTTTTCCTAGGACACTGTCCGATCATAGTCCAGTTTGGATGGAACTGTTTGCAGAGAAGGAAGACAGGAGATCCTGGAGGGTGAATGAGAACTTATTTAAAAAAGAAAAAAATGTTCATAAATTAAAGGAATGTTTAAAGGAATATTTTACTTTAAATATGAATAAGGGAACATCAATGTCAATGGTGTGGGATGCAAGTAAGGCTTTCATGCGTGGTATTTTGATAAAAATGAATAATTTGCATAGACAGGAACAGACTCAGAAACGGAAAGACTTGGAAGAGGAGATTAAATTAAAAGAGAAATTTTTAATTTCAAATCCCTCAGATGAAAAGGTTAAAGGAGCTTTAAAATTGTTAAAAACACAATTTAATATGCTGATGGCTGATCAAGCTGCAACCAATTTGCTATTTATGAAACAAAATACATTTTGTAATGCTAATAAACCAGGGAGATGGTTGGCCTATCAGTTAAGAAAAAAACAGAAACAGAGGAATATAGATAAAATAAATTATAATGGTAAATTGGTTTATCAGAAAGAATTGATTAAGAAATCTTTTCTAGAATACTATCAAAAATTATATAAGGGTTCTAATATTCAAACTACAGACATAAATAATTATTTAGGCAAAGTTAACTTTCCTAAATTAACAGAAGATCAGGGAAAAAAGATTAACGGTTTAATTACTAAGGAAGAAATTGTTATAGCTATTAAACAATTGAAATTGGGCAAAGCGCCGGGTACGGACGGGTTGACATCTATTTATTATAAAACCTTAGTAGAAGAGATGATTCAACCGTTGTGTGAACTGTTTAATAAGTTATTACAGGGGTTAGAGATCCCTCCATCCTGGCGTAATGCATTTATATCTCTGATTCCAAAAGATAGTCAGGATCTCACTTTGCCTAAAAATTATAGGCCTATATCTCTTTTAAATGTGGATTATAAAATTTTTGCAAAAATCTTAGCTAACAGGCTTATGGGGATCTTGCAGCAGCTTATACATAGGGATCAATCGGGTTTCATAACTGGAAGGTACATGAAGAATAATGTTAGACAAATTATTAACTTACTAGAGTATTTAGAAAAGAATAACCAAGTCCCTGCAGGTCTGATATTTTTGGATGCTGAAAAAGCCTTTGACCAAGTGAATTGGCAGTTTATGTTGTGTTTAATTAAGGAAATGAACTTCGGACAAAATATATTACAAGTATTATCCAACATATATCAAAAACAGACTGCTCAAATTATTGTAAATGGGGGTTTGTCAGAGGCTTTTGTAATAGAAAAGGGAACAAGACAGGGATGCCCGTTATCCCCGTTATTGTTTGTTTTAACATTGGAAATTTTGTTGATTAAAATTCGGGAGTCTCAAGAAATAAAAGGAATAGAAATTAATAAAAAAGAATATAAACTAAGAGCCTTTGCAGATGACTTGGTTGTTACTTTGTCTCAACCCGTTTCTTCGGTGGTGAAATTATTACAATTGATTCAACAATATGGATGTGTTTCTGGTTTTAAAATTAATAATAATAAGACCAAAATATTAGCTAAAAATATGACTAACGGTGATAAACAGGCTTTAGTTAACTTAACAGATTTTGAAATTGTTGATAAGGTAAAATATTTGGGGGTTACACTATCTGTTTCTAATGTAAAATTGTACAAAAATAACTATGAAAAGCTGTGGATGGAGGTACAGAAGGATTTAAAAAATTGGAATAATTTACAGTTATCCCTTATGGGTAGAATTGCAGTTATTAAAATGAATGTCCTGCCAAAGTTTATTTTTCTATTTCAAATGCTACCTGTTTTAAAGAACGAACGTAACTTAGATGAATGGCAAAAAGGTATTAATAAATTTGTTTGGGCAGGGAAGAAACCAAGGGTGAAACTTAAAATAATGCAAGATTTTCGTGAGAGAGGTGGACTCAAGGTGCCAAATATGAAATTGTATTATGATGCTGTAGTACTGACTTTGATTAGCGACTGGCTGAATTTAACAAATACAGAAATACTTCATTTGGAAGGCTGGGACCTACTTTTTGGATGGCATGCCTATTTAATATTTAATAAAAAAGTGGATTGGGTTTTTAAGTCTCATATTATAAGAATCTCTTTGTTAAGAGTGTGGAGAAAGTATTATAAAAGTGACTTCAAAATACCATTATGGGCTATACCTCGGCATGCCATAGAAGGTATAAGGAAAGGGGTAAATATGGATAAGGTCTCTTACGCACAGTTACTAAGATGGGATGGCCAAGACTGTCAGTTAAAATCTTTGGAAGAATTAACACATGAAAATTTAACTTATTCATGGTTCAAATATAGACAAATAGTGGATAGATGGAAGATGGATGGTAAAATGGGCTGGCTTAGAGAAGATGGAATTTTTTTAAAAGAAGTAAGAGACCAAAAGCCAACCCATATTAAGAGAGTTTATGGGGTTTTAGTGGAATTAGATTCAGAACCTGAATTAGTTAAAGATTGTATGATTAAATGGGCACAGAATATTGGTGAAACGATTTCAATGGATATTTGGGAACTTATTTGGATAAGAAATGTTAAATTCACACAAGCGCAAAATTTAAGAGAGAATTTTTATAAGATGTTTTATAGATGGCACCTTGACCCAAAGAAAATGTCCATTATGTACCCTAATCTACAGCCGAAATGTTGGAGATGTGGATACTTGGATGCTACCTATTATCATATTTGGTGGACCTGTAAGCATATAAAAGCTTTTTGGATTAAGATATGGTGGAATATTCAAAGAATTTTTAAAAGGAGGGTAAAATTTACGCAGCAATTATTTTTATTAGGTATTGTTATTGACTGTGATGCTAAAGAGGTTACATTGATGTTAAATTTGATTACAGCCGCTAGGCTATTAATAGGACAATATTTGAAGAAGGAATCTTTGCCTACTTTACAAGAATGGTTTTACAAAGTTTCGTATTTGGCAGAAATGGCAAAGATTTCGGCTTTCTTAAAGGAGCAATCTCAAGAAAAATTTTTTGCGGTATGGGAAAAATGGATAAATTTCATACAATATAATTTGGATATGGAAAAATATTATTTAGCTTTTTCATAATCTGTAATGAATGTTATTTCTTTCTTTCTTTCTTCTTTTTCCTTTTTATATATATATAATTTTTATGTATTATTATTCATATATATTTTTCGTCTACTTTCTTCCTTTTTCTTTCTCTCTCTCTTTTCTTTTTTTCATTTTTTTTTTCTTCTTAGTATATATTACTCATTTTAAAGTTTATGTTATGCATATTATTATTATATATATTATTATTGTGATTTTTAATCATTATTATTAACTATTTTATAAATTGTAAATGTTATTTTTAAAAAAAATTTTGTTAAATAATCCTATATCCAATTCTGGGAAGTCGGGGGGGGTGGGGTGGTTGGGGAGGGGGGGGGTGGATTCTTATTTGTAAAACTTTTGAAAAATTTCAATAAAAAAAAAGCTGTCCTGTATACAAGAATTAAAATGGAAACAACCTGAATATGTAGAGAGAAAACAATTACCTCTGAGGAATGCTAATAGGAACACCATGTTTAGCCACAGAATCATATTTGCAGCCTGTAATGAATTGAGAGATGTTGATAGGATAGAATTGAGGAAAATGCACAACTTTGTGTTGCTGGGTGTAGCCTTAAAAGGAAAACCAACTGGCTCCTTTAAAGGGGAAATTGTGACTCAATTTACATAATGATTGAGATAAAAGAGCTGGTCAGAGCATTCACCTTATAGTTTGCTTGCACAATTCCCTACAGTGGTGATTTACACATAAGTTTTCAGTTTTAAGAAAAGTGAAAGCAGCCTTTACATTAGAATAATTAAAATCCTTACAGAATAAAGTAAACTGCAATAGCCTATAAAGTCGCCAAGAGTTGCCCATGACTAAATGGTTAAAACAACAATAATTAAAAGAAAGACTTGGACAATGTCACCACTTCTGAAAATGATTCAAGGTTGCAGGTGGTGAACTTGGACTAAGAATGTTTGAAAGAGACATGTTATAGATAGAACATGAGAAGAACAGCACATCTAAGGTTAGAAAAGATTTTAAAATTTCTCCCCCTTTAATATGCCTTTTGGGAAAAAAAACAAAAGAACGGAGCATAGACCAAGACATGAGGCACAACTTATATGTCAGGCCTGAGCCAGAGAAATCACAGGGGAAAAGATTGGTTTCAGCCTGTGGGATGTTCTTTGCTTATTAAATTGGGTTTTAATTTGATAGTTGTATAAATATTTATATTGGTTAATATTTTGTTATTTTATATAGTGTTTGCATTAGTAGTTAGTTGTCCAGAGTTGATTTGCCAAAATGGGTAGCCATGCTCATTGAAATAATAACAACAACAACAACAACAACAACAACAATAATAATGGCAAGAATAATGGTAATAGCAATTGTAATAAAAATGTCGCCCAAAACATTTTCTGCAGATTGAAAAAATACTAATAAATAACTTTGTATTAAAAAAGCAATTCAATTTTGCTCTATATTTTATAAAACACAGCTGCTTCACACTGAATATATATGTGTGTGTGTGTGTGTGTGTGTCTGTGTGTGTGTTTCTCTCTCTCTCTCTCTCTCTCTCTCTCTCTCTCTCTCTCTCTTTGTGTGTGTGTGTGTGTGTGTGTGTGTGTGTTGGATGGAACACCCGGTCCACCAAATGTAAAGCAATCTGTTTTGCATTTCACTCCAGTCTAGGAACATCTTTTGCAGGCAGATGACACTACTGTGAACACTGTAAATGTCAGGGGTTAAAGACCCAAGTGCCGTGCGATAGGGTGAGCTCCCATTACTAGCTGCAGCTCCTGCCCACCTAGCAGTGTTCCGTGCTCCTTTGGCATATAGCCATGCTGGTCACATGAGCACAGAAATATCTTTGGACAATGCTGGCTCCCTTGACTAAGAAGTGGAGTTGAGCATTGCCTCCTGGAGTCAGAAATGACTGGACAAGGGAAGCCTTTATTATTATTTTTACACATTATTAAAAGTTGTACAAAAAAACATTAAAAAAAATACACAAACTAAGAAAGACTAAGAGAAGCAACTAAAAAGGAAGAAGAAAGGGAAAGATAAGAATGCATAAAAAGAATGAAAAGGAATAGAAATTACTTGTGCAGCAAATAAGTACATTAAGGATATTAACTCTTTATGTTTACAAAAAAGAGTACAGATTTTTCTATAAAAGGCTTCCTAATCAAAAATGTTTAATCAAACATAATCAAAAGATGTTTAACCATTTTTTCAAGCCCTATCATCTTCACTAAAGAGTCCTCCACTATGCTCCATTTAATAATAATAATAATAATAATAATAATAATAATAATAATAATAATAATAATCACACCCTTCATCCACGCAGTGACATTGATAGACTTTATCTATCAAGGCAAAACAAATAGGTGGGCGTGGAATGCTACAAGTACATCAGATGGTTGAAGAAGAAAAAATGGCTTTGGAAGAATATCTGAAGAAAAATGATGAAGATGCACTGAAATTAGTATATCAGGAAGGCTTACTAACTACTGGAGAGACCAAACTGGCCTACAAGAAAGACCAAATGAAGAACAGAATAGAGGCATGGGAAGACAAAGCACTACATGGCCAATACATTAAAAAAATAGCTGGGAAAACAGATAATAATAAAACCTGGCAATGGCTAAAAGCAGGAAAATTGAAGAAAGAGACCGAGGGACTAATTCTGGATGCACAAGACCAAGCCTTAAGGACAAATGCATACAAAGTCAAAATTGAGAAGACAGCAACAGACAGTAAGTGCCGCCTATGCAAAGAAGCTGAAGAAACAGTGGACCACTTGGTAAGCTGTTGCAAGAAGATTGCACAGACTGATTACAAGCAGCGGCATGACAAAGTAGCAACAATGGTGCATTGGAAGATCTGCAAAAAATATCATTTGCCTGTAAGCAAAAACTGGTGGGATCATAAAATAGAGAAAGTCATAGAAAATGATAAAATTAAACTGCTCTGGGACTTCAGAATTCAAACAGACAAGCACCTGCAACATAACACCCCAGACTTAACAATTGTCGATAAGAAAGACAAAAAAGTCTGGATAGTGGACGTGGCAGTGCCTGGAGATAGCAGAATAGAAGAGAAAGAACTGGAGAAGATAACAAAATACAAAGACCTACAAATAGAAATAGAAAGACTGTGGCAAAAGCAAGCAAGGGTAGTACCAATAGTAATAGGCTCCTTGGGTGCAATCCCAAAACAACTGGAGCACCACTTGAACACCATTGGCATTGACAAATTCGCTATTAGTCAATTGCAAAAGGCGGCCTTATTAGGAACTGCTTCCATCCTGCGACGATACCTGTAATACCATCAAACATCCACATCTGCCTATCCCAGGTCCTGGGTAAGGACTCGATAGGTAGACAAAATGCCAAATCCAGTCTGAACATCTGGCTGACTGTGCGATGATTGATAATAATAATAATAATAATAATAATAATAATAATAATAATAATAATAATAATAATAATAATAATAATCACACCCTTCATCCACGCAGTGACATTGATAGACTTTATCTATCAAGGCAAAACAAATAGGTGGGCGTGGAATGCTACAAGTACATCAGATGGTTGAAGAAGAAAAAATGGCTTTGGAAGAATATCTGAAGAAAATGATGAAGATGCACTGAAATTAGTATATCAGGAAGGCTTACTAACTACTGGAGAGACCAAACTGGCCTACAAGAAAGACCAAATGAAGAACAGAATAGAGGCATGGGAAGACAAAGCACTACATGGCCAATACATGAAAAAAATAGCTGGGAAAACAGATAATAATAAAACCTGGCAATGGCTAAAAGCAGGAAAATTGAAGAAAGAGACCGAGGGACTAATTCTGGATGCAGAAGACCAAGCCTTAAGGACAAATGCATACAAAGTCAAAATTGAGAAGACAGCAACAGACAGTAAGTGCCGCCTATGCAAAGAAGCTGAAGAAACAGTGGACCACTTGGTAAGCTGTTGCAAGAAGATTGCACAGACTGATTACAAGCAGCGGCATGACAAAGTAGCAACAATGGTGCATTGGAAGATCTGCAAAAAATATCATTTGCCTGTAAGCAAAAACTGGTGGGATCATAAAATAGAGAAAGTCATAGAAAATGATAAAATTAAACTGCTCTGGGACTTCAGAATTCAAACAGACAAGCACCTGCAACATAACACCCCAGACTTAACAATTGTCGATAAGAAAGACAAAAAAGTCTGGATAGTGGACGTGGCAGTGCCTGGAGACAGCAGAATAGAAGAGAAAGAACTGGAGAAGATAACAAAATACAAAGACCTACAAATAGAAATAGAAAGACTGTGGCAAAAGCAAGCAAGGGTAGTACCAATAGTCATAGGCTCCTTGGGTGCAATCCCAAAACAACTGGAGCACCACTTGAACACCATTGGCATTGACAAATTCGCTATTAGTCAATTGCAAAAGGCGGCCTTATTAGGAACTGCTTCCATCCTGCGACGATACCTGTAATACCATCAAACATCCACATCTGCCTATCCCAGGTCCTGGGTAAGGACTCGATAGGTAGACAAAATGCCAAATCCAGTCTGAACATCTGGCTGACTGTGCGATGATTGATAATAATAATAATAATAATAATAATAATAATAATAATAATAATAATAATAATAATAATAATAATAATAATGCGATGATCCATAATAATAATAATAATAATAATCATCATCATCATCATCATAAAAGTTGGAAGGGACCATGGAGGTGATTTAGTCCAACCCCCTGCTCAGGCAGGAAACCCTACATCATTTCGGACAAATGGCTGTCCAGTCTCTTCTTAAAAACCTCCAGTGTTGGAGCATTCACCACTTCTCGAGGCAGGTTGTTCCACTGGTTAATTGTTATAACTGTCAGGAAGTTTCTCCTTAGTTCTAGGTTGCTTCTTTCCTTGATTAGTTTCTATCTGAGCATGGTTTCCATTATGAGCATATAATAGTCTACCCGTAGATATCATATGTAAAAACAAAGACCATTTTCTAGTTGCCGTTCCATTAGTCCCAAAATAAAACTCTCTGGCTTCAATTCAATTTTAACATTTAACATCATGGGGATAGGTCCATGTATTTGTATACCACATTTTTTTGCATGTCCATCAAACTTTATAAATATTCCCTTCATGCTGTTTCATATTTCTTCTGCAGCAAATATAAGTACATTTGCAATATTAACTCTTACTTATAATTACAAAAAGGAGCTCATGTTTTTCTACTATCCATTTGTTTTCATCAAAACCACAAATCATGACTGTGTGTTTTTCTGTTTCCTGCAAATGTCTATACAGTATTTTCTAATCAAAGACATTAGTTTAGGCTTCCTTACAAGTTCCATCATATTGACGGTCCATCCCTCCATTGTGGGTAGTGTCCAGTGTTTCTAATTTTGATTATATAATAATACCCTCTCAGTTATCATATATTAAAAAGAGAGCTTCATGACTTTTTTTTTCTAATTGCCCATTTAATAGACCCAAAAGAAAACTCTCTGCTTTCAATTGTAGCTTAATCTTCAAAATACTCTGGATTACTGTACATATAGGTATCCAACATTTTT